TTTGCCTGAAGATCTTTAAGGTTTATTTTCTAAAACAGGAACCTGTTTCAAATTTAGGCTAAATAGGTTCTTATATAAAGGGGTTCTAAATTGATATTTGTAGGCTAACAGGTTCGTGAATTCTAGGTTCTTATAAGCAGATTAGTACTGTATTTCCGATAGGTGGGTGCTGCGGAGTTCCCTATTTAAGGATAAAAAAAATTGATACCGTTGTTAAGGCCCAAACCCCCAAAAAGACGCCCTATTCTAGGTAAAATAACAATAATAAAAAAACAAACAAACAACAGCTGACTTCGCACTGCAAAAAGAAGTCTTTATAAAATCGTTTTGCTTATGAGCTTAACCGCCTAGTTCAGTTTCAAAAGATCATTTACTTTTCGCTTAGCTGGGCAGTTACACACTGCAATTTTAGCTGATACAATTTAGGTGGATCCCATTACCGACATAAACTGGACAGTAAATATTGGTAACATTGTACAAGCAATATAACGTTGAGGACCTGTTAGAGCTATAAGAGCTAAGGAATAATAATCATTTTAGGTATGTTGGATTAAGGGCAGCATGGCATCAGGGATAAAGCATAAGCCAGGTAGTTTTACGAATAATGGAAATACGTTAAGGTACAACATTAATTACACAAGAGTGACCAACTTTACAATGTATTTTTCCATCACCAAATCGGAACATATATCGAAAAAACCTCACACTCTTTCTTAGCCTATTTTCTTCTGAGTGATATGGTCGGTAAGTGAACCTATACTTGGCGGATACTTGACCGACACTTGACCAACGCCTGACCGACACTTGACCAACGCCTGACCGACGCCTGACGGACGCCTGACCGACACTTCACCGGCAGTTGATCGCTACATATCGGCCGATGCATCAACCAGCAGTCAGTCGATATATCGGTTCGCCATCTTTTTCACGCCCCCATGTCATCTGTCATGGCACGGCATCTTCAGCTATTGGACAGTAATTCATGAGATGTTTAATAGTGTTTCTTCTGTCTGTGCTCTTTCTGAGGTGGCACAGTGTAAAATTAGGAAACTATAATTCTTCCAGCCCTTTGATCAAACCAAAATTGAGACTGCGATTGATAGACAGTTTTCTTGTTGATAATTTCTGCTTGCTCCTCATTAAATGGAATAGACTCAAGGAATTCAATTGCAAGTTCTTTAGAAACTGTAGGCATCTTTTTTTCAGTAATAAACGAAACAAACACCTTGGCATTATCATTCATTGAATATGCAGGCACACTTTGAACACTTTCTTCTTTACAGACATTAACATCACTGCTGATAAAAGCTCTGACTACTTCCTCTGTTTGACTGGGTCCTTTAATTGAAGATAAAAAAGGCAGAGCTGAAGAGCTAGGACAAGTTTCCAGCAACCCAGTCTTAAAATCTTGTTCCAGTTCAGTCACATTATAAGGAATACAAACTGCATTAAAATCTCTTGGGTGAATTGGGTCTTTCAATGTCACACCGTAACTACCACTCATTTGGAGGTCCTGAATGGGCAAACTTCCCTCATTTCTCTTTCCTCTCTTTTTCCACATGCACTGCCCTGATGTACATGATTGGAGATCATTGAATCTCACGTTTGCTTCTAGATCAAACAATGCTGCAGCTATGTGCCAGCAACCTCCATCTCTCCTGTTTAAAGGAGAACCAATATAACTAATTGTTCACACTGATAGACTGTAAAGTAGCCAATAAGGTCAGTTACTAGGCTCACAGATTCTGACTTTGAACTACTGTTTTAATACTTAGTGCTGAGGTCATAAATGATCCAGAAGGTTTGAGACTTAAAATAATGGATCCATTGATTTAGATCTTCAATTCAGGAGGCATCTACTTTTTACTCATGTTACAACTTCTACATGGGAAATATAATAAAACTGAATAAAACAAAACCTGTCACAGAGAAAAACAACAGAAAAGACCAAACGTTTTGATTCTCAAACGTATGTTTATGGAATATCAAGCGCATAGACAGGCTCCAGAAATCAAAAGTAGAGAATACATACCCTCCTTTCCATAAGCAGTAGTCTTAATTGACACTTCCATCCTTTTTTAAAATGAAAAACCCTCTGTATGTTGCTGAACCATCATCAGTCTTGGATTTTTCAGTTGGCTTTACAGCAAACTTAAAATAACTGTAATTACTATTGGGTTGAGGTGGGTGATACCAAAGTTCTTCCATATGTCCATCAAAAAATAATTTGTACCCTAATAGGGATTTGTAACTTTTTAGGCCTTCGCTGTTGTACACGTTGTCTTTTCCCACCAAGTAATTAAAGAGTTCGGGGAATCCAAAGTCCTGTACGTTAGTAAAGTTTTTGGTTCATTGGGAAAAAACACGATTTTCGTTATCACATTCTCCCTCATCAGTTTGCAGTTGCTCTTTCATAGAAATTCTTGGATTGATTGATGCTTCCTCTTCAGCAATTTTCAGGACTTCCATCTCCTCACTTTCCTCAGTTCAACCTTACGCTTTCCTGAGCTTTAAATGCCCCTTTGTTTTAAACATTCTTTACACCAAAGAAACTGGTTCATCGCTGTGGGTCAGTCCTTACATGGGAACGTCTATTTCTCAGGGATGCGCTGTCAAAAGGATCAAAGGAACTCTATTGAATCACATATTCCCTCAGAGGAATATAACGTGTATTTATATGTCCACGTAATGTGTGTACGGTCATGATGAAATATATATCTACGCTAAGACCTCAGTTCCCATCCATGTGGGAGATGTTAAAACACTTTACGCATGCACAGTGTAAGATAGCTGACAAAGATGGCTGTTCAAGGCTGCCTGAGGCTGCCCAAGGCTGCCCTAATCTCTATAGAACTAAAAAATATTCGAAAGGTTGTAGCCAATGAGAAGATTTTGCTAAATCATGCAGGATCAAAGTTCTACAGTCTGTAACCAATGAACAGGTAGAATTCAAAGACAATAGATCTCAGATGTATAAAAGAATAGCATATTTTTAAGGAACTCACAATTCTCTCTCGTAGAGTGGTTAGCAAGCAAGGAACAAGTGGTTGTCAAATTCTCGGTTTTCACTCATGTGACCAAAGCTTTGACAACCGTTGCTATCTGCCATATTGGTGTACAAACAAACGCTCAAAGAGCTCGTGGTCTGAAGTAGTGTAGAAATGGTTTTGTGTTTATTTGTGGATTGCCACGCAAGAAGTGGTCGAGACAGAAATGTTTCCTTCTTCAGAGTGCCGGTTATTGATAAAAAGAATGGTGAAGAAGCTGAAGAGCTTTCAACAGAGCATCGAACGAAGTTGATCACAGCTATAAGCAGAGATGACTTGACTGAACAAATCTTAAAAAACGACCGTGTTTGTAGTCGCCATTTTGTCTCCAGTCATCCAGCAAAACCCTGGGATAAATACAACGTTGACTGGGTGCCAACACTTAACCTTAGACACACAAAAAGGAAGGCAGAAGACATGGGGAAAGCAGTACAGGAACGAGCAGAGAGAGCTAAAGTTAGGAGGAAGAAGAAGCTTAACAGAGCAAAAGCGATGATCAAAGAGAATAGACTTCGGTTGAATGACGAAGGAACCCAAGTCTCTAATATCTTGTTTACATCTACGAGCGACGATTTAGATACAACAACAGAAGAATTTGTCTTGTCGTATGGAGAACAAGAGCTTGGTGAAAATGAAAAATGCCGTCAGGCCGAGGTCAAAAGCTTTGACGAGATGAGTACTCAGACCGAAGTTTTGACACGTACTCCTAAGCTTAAGTCTTATGATGCCTCTTCACAGACTGACGAGTTTGATTATTTATTTAATACAAATAAGAAAGTAACTGACTTTGGCAAAGAGTATTTTAGGAATAGCGACAATAAAGTACTATTTTATATTGGCCTTCCTTCTTATGAAATCGTGAACTTTGTGTTTGAACTCGTGTCACCGTCTGCTTCTCGTCGCTCCAAAACACTGAGTCCTTTTAAAGAATTTGTTATGGTCCTGATAAAGTTGAGATTGAATGTTCCTTTTCAAGACCTAGCTTATCAGTTGAACATCTCAGTTCCAACAGTTTCATGGACATTTCATTCTTGGTTGATAACTATGGAGATAAGATTGTCTCCATTTATCCACTGGCCAGATCATGAAAGTTTGATAAGATCAATGCCACAATGCTTCCAGTTCAGCTTTGGAACTAAAATTACTGTTTTGAGATTTTTATTGAGAAACCTACAAATTTATTTGCTAGAGCACAAACATTCAGCTCCTACAAACACCATATTACCATCAAGGTCTTGATTGGCATCACACCGCAAGGTAGCATTTCATTTGTTTCTGAGGCACGGGGTGGGCAAACCTCGGACAAGGTTTTGACAGAAAACTGTGGTATCTTGAGCAAGTTGGTTCCTGGCGACATGGTGATGGCTGATCGAGTCTTCATGAGAGTGTTGCATTCAAGAGGGCAAAGTTGGTAGTTCCAGCTTTTACCAAAGGCAAGTAGCAACTTGACCCAGTTAATGTTGAAACCACAAGAGGAATTGCCAATGTTTGTATCCATGTGGAAAGAGTCATTGGTCTTTTGTGCAGCAAGTATACAATACGCCCTTTGCAGCTAGAGGTCACGTGCCTAGATATGCGTTAGCAACACCGAATTGGAGAGCAAGCTCTTCAGCAAACACAAATTGAATGAGTCTCTTGAGCGTCACACGTGTATAGTTGAAAGGCGATTATTCTGAATTCAAGCGTTAAATATCTTTCCATCTCTCCAAATCCAGTAAGTTTTGCATAGAAATATAGCTTTGAGCACATCTTGAGTCGGAAAGGTTGGTTTTCAGCTGGGATCGCGGCAAAAATATCAGTGTAAAGTCGACCACGAGATACAAACATGGCTTCTCCGTCTGGTATGTACAACAGAGTTTGTCTTCTTCTTGCACTTTTATAACGACGTTTGGACAATTAATACAAGTAAAAAGAAATAAAATACAGTAATTCACTACACTTTGAGGTTTAGGAACCATTTACTATCGAAAAACATAGAATTTTGGCTGCTCATTCCCCTCAAAACTATGGCGTTTGAACCAACAAGCGTTGTTTTCATTGTTGTAGATATTGATATGGACAAGTCAGTTGAACAATCCACCAAGGGCAAAAAAAAGTCTGCACACCATTGTTGTGTTCCCCAATGTAATGGGGATTCAAGATACCATGAAGATCTGCATTTCCATTGCATTCCCGGTCGTGCCAAGGACGAAAAGCTGAGGAAGGAATGGCTCATGAAAATCTGAAGAGACAAAGGTCCTGACTTCAAGGTATTTTATGGAGACATTCGATTTTCAAAGCATTTCACAACGAATTGTTCAGTAAACTTATGTGTCTAACGGCTTAAACTTTTCTCTATTTAGATAACTAGTAGTACGAGAGTATATTCAAGGCACTTTACCAAGGAAGATTACCTTCCACCGACCAAGTGTGGTAGCCAGCGACTGAAAAGAGGTGCTGTTCCATCGAATTTTAACTGGACTTCCTCCTCCAAAGCACGAAGAAAGATTATTCAACATGTCGACAGGTAATTTATCCTTCAGTTATATTTTAATGTGTCCGTGAGTTTATGGGGTTATAATGATAAGTCTAGACTATAATGGCATCTTTCTAATTTTTAAATACTGTATCAGTTTGGGATAAGTATTAACTGCTATTTTTAAAAGCATTTGAAACACCTTATAGAAGGGATGTATGGGTATGAAGTATATATACAGATCTCAGGTTCCTCAATGTCTAAAATGATTTAATTGTTTTAAAATTTAGAATTATGTATAAATGAGTGATATTTAATTTTTAGGCTTTGTTCACAGAGATACTCAAACAGATGATAGTGACACTGATGGAGTGGAAAGTGAGGCAATGCAAAGCAGGGAAAGTGTGGAAACAGAGGTGCAGTCTCTGAAGGCTCAGCTGCTGGCCATGCAGGGAGAGCTTGAGGTGAGCAGAAAGGAAGCAGCTGTAGCTAAAGAAGAGCTAAGAAATGTCAAGGCTGAAGCTGCTCAACGATTAGAGGACATTAAAAAGCAGGCAGCTTATAAAGCAATATTAAGTAAATTTGGCCTAGAGAGATTAGATGTAGACAACGAGAGTATAAAATTTTACACTGGTTTCCCCTCAAATGAACATATTAAGTTTTTTTTTAGTTTTATTAAGCCAAGTGCTGAACTAATGACCTACTGTTATGCCTCTGGAGGGAGAGAAAACAGACCAGCCTCCAGAAATATGCTTCTAATAGATGAAATGTTTATATTTCTTGTTCAGCTTAAACTAGGATTATTTGAGCTAGATCTTGCTGATAGGTTTGAAATTCATATATCCTCAGTCTCTAGAAAATTAGTAACATGGTCCAATTTTTTGTCCTTTTTTGGTGGAAGTCAGATTATCTGGCCCTCTAGAGCAGATGTAGATAGATGCATGCCTGAGGGTTTCAGAAAACTCTATCTTAGCACTAGAGTGATTTTAGAATGCACAGAGATTTTTGTGGAAACACCCACATCACTATTGTTACAGTCACAGCTATACTCATCCTATAAGAGCAACACAACTTTGAAAGGTCTTATTGGAATCACCCCTTGTGGAGCAATATGTCTTGTTTCCACTTTATACACTGGAAGGATTAGTGACAAGGAAATCCCAGGATGTAGTGGTATTTTAGACCTTTTAGAAGCAGGAGACTCAGTCATGGCAGACAAGGGGTTTGATATAGGTAACATGCTACAGGAGTATAATGTGGAGTTAAACATCCCTCCTTTTCTGGAAAATCAAGGGCAGTTTTCAACTCAAGATGTACAAAAAACTAAAACTATTGCAAGCCTTAGAATACACGTAGAACGTGCCATCAGGAGGGTTAAGGAGTATCACTTCTTTGATTCTGATGTTCCTCTGTCAACTTTAGGTTCAGTTAACCAGCTGTATTCTAAAGCCTGTCTTCTAACAAATTTTCAAGGACCTTTAATCTTATCTAAGTGACAACAGTGAAATGTAGTGTGTTCATTTGGATTAGAAGATCATTTAGAAAGATTAAGTTAAACTTTTAGAAAAAGTTTAAGTAGTCATAAAGAGTGTTTGTAAGTTTGAATTGTTAATAAAAAGTTACAACTGGACATACTATTTCTGAAGCAATTCTTCTTTAAATACAGTGTTAGACATTTTTGGTGTTTTTCTTTTAAGGTTGGTTAAATAGGGGATTACCATATACAATTAGTTCTTGAATTTGACTGTGATGAAGCAAGTAAATAATTAAACCTTGGCTAAAAAGAGCTAAAAAATACCAACAAGAAAGTTATAAGTCTCATTTATGTTTCTGCAAAAAAAAAAGCTCTATGCATATCTTGGGTCAACTTCACCTCATCCTTCACCCTGACAATATCTGGTAAGCCCCTTTTTTAGAAAAGTTTTGAAATCTAAAATAACTATACACAAATTAGAGCAAATGTAGAATGTTTTTAAAGATCATTTATTGAAGTTAAACCTTTTCATAACCAATACAGTGTTACGAGTAAGCAAAGACTAGAGGCAAATCAACTTAGATAGTAATTAAAAAAAAATTGTCCACCTTATCTTTAGGACTTAGGCTCTTAAGGATTTTTTGCGCCTTGCGACGGCAACCTCCTCCCAGTCCCCCTCCGTCATGGCAGCCATTGTAGACATCCGCCATCCTCGGATCTTGAGGTTCCTATTTATTTCTTAAGGATGGAGGATACCAGTTTACCATAAATGGGGAAAGAAAGTCTTTAAAAGGAACCATCAACTTTGTTTCCGGTGATAATTTAGCATCCCAGGAGATTGTAGGCTGTTCTGCACTGAAGTGCAGAGTTTACATAGGAGATGCAAATGATGTAGCTACAAAGGTAGGCAAAGGATGAACCATTTTTCCACTGACAATAAAGTAAGCATCTAAACCTCTTCCATTCACTTTGCCCTTTTGCACTTTGCCGCCAACTCATAAGTTTTTTCCTAGGCTTTTGCTCATTGTGATAACTTTTTGCTGAACTTTCTCTTTCGCAATGTGAGAACCATTACATCTAGTACCAAAGATACCCTCCCCCCCCTTTAATGATTAAACCACCAGATCCTGTGACTTACATGGAAAAACTGTGTTGAAAATTGTGTACAATTTGAAGTGTGGTGTTGAAATCCAATAACTTTCTCATAATTCCTCACAGTTTGTGGAAGATGATTTCCAATTACACACTCAAGCAATGTATGATCTGCTGTGCACAGCAATCGAAAATTCAGTCATTGACATTTCTTCTCAGTTTCAAATAAATCTGAGATCGGCCCTGAACCAGTCACATTACTTGTATGTCATAGAAGGTCTTTTGAGTGATGTAATGCATGATATCCATCAGGGGTTTCTTCACTATGAAGTTAAAGAACTCCTCAAATATCTATAGATGAGCAGCAGTTTTTCACTTTGGGAAATTTTAATTCTTGGATTAAAAATTTAGATTGTGGTTATCCAGATTTTTCCAACAAACCATGTTATATCAAGTGCCACCTTAAATTCCTACACTAATTCTCTCAAACAAAAGGTAAAACTTATATTATTAGTAGTTCATAGGAAATGCATTAAACTGTGTGTTGGTAATTCTGTTGATCGTAATGTGATTCTAGCTTCAGAGATGTGGTGCCTTAGCCATTTCCTTCCATAGGTGATCGGCAGCCATATGCCCCATGATGATGAGAAGTGGAATCTTCTCCCAACTCTTAGAATAGAGAACATTATAAAGTAGCTTACTCAAGGGATTTAATCACCAATCACCATACTAGATTTACCAAGTTATACCCGAATTCCTCTGTGATTCCACAGATGCACTATATTCTCCATAACCCAAGAACAATGGTTAGGTAAGTTGGAAATGAAAATTATCTAACTTTTCTTTTGATGGGTGATAGTGTTGTCACATAAATCTTTGTATTATTGTTTGGGTTTTCCATTAGTTACCTTACAGTACATGTAAAGGTTGATCATTGAAAAAAAAAAGTAAATATGTAGCATTTTGATATTTAAAGTTTAGTCCGATGGTACTGTCCTGGATGATAAGGTTTGAGCCAAAGCATGAAAGACCCAAACGGCTGGCCACATTCCTTGCAATTTTACTCACATTCCTTGGACAGTGGATCTTCATCATCAGTTGAGGCAGTGCTATGAAATATCAAGCAGTAAGCATGTTCATCAATCACGCAAGCCTCTGCAATCAACGGAAGACGAAAACGATCCGCCATCTTGGCCTGTTGTGGCATGTGCGAGGTTT